ATCCGGCCTCCTCTCAGGGAGGGTTGGGACCTTCCATTGTCCCCAGCTCCGGTGCCAACGAGGCCGAGTTGTCCCCTCCCTAATGAGACCTGACAAGTTGGCAACCGGGCTGCTGCTCAGGGCCTCCGATGGCTCATTTGCACCATGGTGGGGCAAAGGGCAGGCAGGAATAATCGGGAATGGGAACGGCCTTCCCGCCTCCGAGGTGCCGCCGGAGCTGGGCAGGTGGAATTATCAACATAAAGGACAAAGAGTCACGGAATTAAAGTCGGAAAAGACCTCCAACATCATCAAATTCCAACCATCATAGCGATATTTTAAGTTAAAGCACAGCAAGGTTGAAATAACGGCAGGAATTCCTCCCCCAAGGAGACAAGAATTTGTTGGGTTTGCTCATCCGAGGCACAAAACTCGTTTGGTTTTGCAGAACTGATCAAAGCCTTCCAGTTGAGGCCGTTGGTTTTCCCAGTGGTTTCTGTGTCACAAACTGCCTGCGTGATCCCAAAACGATCCAACCCCAAATGTGGGGCTCGTGTGACCGTGCCCCACCACCAAATTCCGAGCGGGACGCGCCAGCTTCCGTTAGGTTGGGATGAGCGCTCGGCTCCGCGCGAGGAACCGAGGGGATTCTGAGGGAAAAAATTTCTGCCCATGCCTCGTGTTGGCTCTGCCAGCAGAGGTTTAGCCCTGCAGTAGCTGGTAGGCCACCAATAATTCTTGAAAATAAAAGTTTTGTGCGAAGTTTGGCTGTTTTGGCTGAAAGTCCTGGATAAAAGGGGCTTGGAAGTGAATGAAAAATTGTTTACGCCCCTGGTGAAGCTTTTTAGGGCTTATAGGATTCCTAAAGAGAATCCACCATTGCAGAAAATTAGAATTTTGTAGGATTTTGGGAACCAACCATATGTCTGGAGACAGTACATTCATATCTGTATCAGTATTTTTATATTTCCTTATTTTTTATTTTTACACTTGTGTGAGTGTAACACCAAAGAAAATTAGTATGCTGAACACTGAATTATTATATAATCAATCGAATATTTAATATATATTTATATATTAAAGATTTTTATCAATATATGTATAAAATATATTTAATATCTAATTTTGGATATTGAGTTCTTAAGTATTTAATATCACTTTAATGCAAGATATTTTTTTGCCACCCCACTCTCTGTGAAATATCATCATTACCTTAAACGCCACCAAATATTTGCCCCCCATGAAAGACAGAACTATGTGTACCCCTGTGTTCATACTCAAAATATTAATAGAATATTAAATATTTAGGTATCTGGCACTGAGTATCTCCATGTTTGCAGAAATTCCTGGTTTTACCCTACGTGTGTGTATGGAATGAGCAGGTGGAATGTGCTCATGGTGACAAATGGTGACAATAATGGTGGCAGGTGCTTGCTATGTAAGGACTTCCCTAAATCCCACAATTTAAAATTTTGGCCCTGCTTGCCTCGCTCTGGACAATTTTCTAACCCAGAGGATTTTAGAATTGTAATTATTTGCCTGTAATTAAACCTGTTTCAAACAGAAAAGGGAGGTGGGGGAGCGAATTCTCTCCGTCCGTTCACGGTTTCTCGCCACTCATTAGAAGCTGGCAATTAAGGTCTTTGCAATTACCAGGGGAAGGACGTGGATATTTTAGGGAGCAGCTGGAGGATTTCTGGCACCAGCCACTTTTCCAAACTGGTGACCGAGTGCTGCCACTCGGGGTTTGGGGAGGGGCTGGGAGAGCAGTCGGTCCCACAAATGGGACACTGGGAAAACCAACGGCCTCAACTGGAAGGCTTTGATCAGTTCTGCAAAAACAAACGAGTTTTGTGCTCTGGATGAGCAAACCAAACAAATTCTTGTCCCCTTGGGAGGAATTCCTGCCGTTATTTCAGCCTTGTTGTGCTTTAACTTAAAATATCGCTATAATGGTTGGAATTTGATGATATTGGAGGTCTTTTCCAACCTTGATTCCGTGACTCTTTGTCCTTTATGTTGATCATTGGTTCATTATTGATGAGAGTTGGAGCTGAGCTGTGACAAACTCCTCTTTTTGGGATGTGAATCCTCATTTTTGGTGCTGTAACTCAGGATCCAATCCTCATTTTTTGCTCCTGATGGTCTCACTGCAAACTGCTGATGTCTTAAAATGAAGAGTGGGGCTTGTGAAACTTTCCTGGTGTTGTTTGGGATAAAAAAATTAATCCCAAATTCTGCCTCCAGATTCCACATGGACCCATTTATTTCATCTTCCACATGGTTGGGAGAGGTTTGTTTTATTTCCTGTCTGCTTCTAATCAGGATTTCATTCTCCCCTGGCTGAGAGGGATCAAAGGAGTAAATCCAAAATTCCCTCTTCATAAGGTTAAAGCAACAAAGTTTAAAGCACCGGGCTGTGCGTTATCTTTTTACCTCTTATTTTTTTATGGATTTCCCTGTGTTTTAATAAAAAAGCTGTTTGCAGATAACAGCAGGAACAGTGACAACCTTTGTGCTGCTGGTCCTGGGTGGATTTCTGCTGTGGGACAAATATTTGGAGGTGACATCCCCAAGCCCGTCATATCTTTCCTGAAAAAAGAAAAAAAATCAACAAAGAAAAATATTTATTAGAAAATAAGCACCACATATTCAGAGCTGCTTAGGAATTATCTGGGTGTTGCAGATCTTTTGGTTGATCAGGGTGGAAAAGCTCATCCCAACTCTGTGTGTTCTGGATGGATTCCAAAGGAAACCACTGGCTCCAGCTGGGCTCAGCAGCCACATCCTTTCAGGATTTTCCTGTCCTGTTTGATTTTCGAGGCACTTGCATAATTTTTAAGGGTTTCTAATAATCTCAGCTGTGTATTTAATTATTTTTTTTAGCCTTTCTGCCCCTGGATGGCTCCCCAGAGCCTGGGTGCAGGGATTGGGATGCTCCTGAAAGCTGCTGGATTTGGGATGGCCTCAGGAATGGCACCACAGTGGTTATTTGGTTCTGCTTTAATTAGTTCCCATAAGTCAGGGACTTGGGAAAAATACAACAGATTATTTAATGGTGTAATAAACGGAATAAATCCCTTTGGAGCATGGATGAGGAAAATCCAATGGTGACTTTGTTTGCAGCTCTGAGATGGAAGCTTTTCCAAGAGGAAAGGCCAAGATAAAATCAGTGTGATTGTGGAGATGTGGCCCAGGCAGTGAGGAGGAGTCAGGAGGAAGGTGGAGATGAGGTATCAGCAGAAACACCAACCTCCTGTGGGACCAGCCAACTTCCCACTGCACTGGAAATCCAGGGAGATCCTCTGTCCAGGTCTTTTCCAGTGACCAAAATGTGCTGAGGGGGACGGGCTTTTACAAATCAGAACCAACCTGTTCACACTGATGGGAAAATCTGGAGAAATTTGGATTTAATGAGAAAAAACATTGCTTTTCCTCCTGAAAAGCAGTGTAGAACCAGATGAATGGGTTCATTTTGACTCCATTATCCATTCCTTTTAACTCCATCTTTTCCATTCCTTTCAACTCCATATTTTCCATTCCTTTTAACTCCATATTTTCCATTCCTTTCAACTCCATATTTTCCATTCCTTTTAACTCCATATTTTCCATTCCTTTCAGGCACACCGTATCCTCACGGATTTAAGTGTTTCGCCTGCAAAAAGGCCTCAGATAATTAAGATTTTGGCGTTTGTTGATGCCAAAATAACCACATGAGTGGAAGACTCTGGGGCTGGATCATGGGGATGAGGTGGTGGCCAGGTCCTTTTGGGTTTGCTCTGCTCGTCCCCGCTCTCTGTCGGGAAAGAGGGATTGACCATGGGAATGGCTGCCCAGGGAGGTGGTGGAGTCACAATCCCCGGAGGTTTTTCGGGAAAACCTGGATGTGGCCCTCAGGGTGACAAGGGAGTGTCGGTCAGGGGTTGGACTCGATGACCTCAGAGGTGTTTTCCAGCCTGGATAATTCTGGCATTCTGTGGCTCTGTCCAGGTGGGGATTCTCGGCCGCCGCATGAGCAGGTCCTGGCCGGGCCATGGCCTGGCCACCGGGGCTGCTCCTCCTCCTCCTCCTCATCTTCCTCCTCCTGCTGCTGCTGCCCGGCCGCGCTCCGGCCGCGCGGAGCCGCGACTTCACCGCCAAGGACATCGTCTACCTCCACCCCTCCAGTAAGTCACCTCCACCTCGCCGTGCCCTAAATCTCAGCTTTGATATTTTCCAGGTTCTATGCTGCTTTGGTGTGCAGCTCTGAGCTTCACATTCAGTGTTGCTGAGCAGGGAGACAAAACAATTCCTGCTCCAGCTGGGCACCCAAATGATCCAAACCTCAGCCCAGGAGCACAAACAGCGTGGGCTGGAGAGAGAAAAACAAGCAGGGTGGGACTGCCTGGGCTGGAGCTGGAATGGGACAATGAACTCCAAGGTGCCAATGGAGCAGAACGGATCATTTTGTGACCAATCATCCATTTTTTGGGACCATTTTGGGTCATTTGGGTGCAGCCCTGGCTGGGCTCTGGTGCTGCCCAAGGTGGATCCATGGAGGAGATCAATTTAATAAATCCTTGAATAAATCCCTGTTTATTCTGTGACTCTGCCCAGCCTCTGCTCTGGGGCAGCTTCTCAAGGTGTCACACCCTGAGACAGGGACAAGGACGAGGGAAATATCAGTTATCTCCTGAGCCTTGAGCTTCTGGATTTGCACTCAAATTCCCACAGGAGCCCAACCCAAAAGCCACTTCCAATCATCATTTCCATGGTCCTCAGGGGCCACTGGAATACTTTCCAGCAAGGCACTGGGCTGCTGTGTTTCTCTGTACCACATTTAATCTCATCACAACTTTATTTCATTTTTCCCACTTCTTGAACCACGGCTGTGTTTCTTTGCTTTTGGCTCTGCCTTTAGCCTGGTTTTACATGGAATTGTGGAATGGTTTGGGTTGGGAGGGACCTGGTTTGTACAGTCCCCACTCTCATAGGGTGGAAGAAAACCTAAGTTTTTGTGGGAGGTGTCCTGCCCATGGCAGAGGGTGGGACAACACGGGCTTTAAGGTCCCTCCCAACCCAACCCATTCCATGATTCTGTGTAAAACTGGACCAAAAGGGTTTAAAGGACACATGGGGTTACGGGCAGCTGCTGAGGCACCGACAGCCTTGACTCCAGTAACTCCTGGAGCAACAGAGTTGTGCATCTTTAGATCTTCCCTGGACCCCCACCAGGCTGTTCACTTTATCTGACACAGACTTCTCAAATTCCATGAGAACACGGTGCCCGTGGAGCTCTCCCTGCCTTCTGCTCCCACAGAAAACTCGCTGCTTCATGTGCTGAAAAATATATATTCTGTGCAAGCAGGATGAAATTCCTGTTTTAATCACAATTGTGATACAACGGTCAGAGGGATTAATTTAATTATTGTGTTGTCCCAGCCCCACCAGAGTTGCTCCTGGGTGATTTCTTGTTCCTTAAAAGCCGAAAGGAAACAAGCAATGAAATCCTCTTGCTTCGCCTCTCATTCCCAAGCAGCATCCAGAGCCAGGGGAGGAGGTGAGGAGGAGGAGGGTGAAGATGTGGCCCTTGGGGCTGTACAGGTTCAAAGTGCTGCTAAAGGTGACCCCTTCACCATTTGCCTTCTGAGAAGGTGGCAGCACCTTGAGGTGGGATTGGAAGTGCCCCAGAAGTGCTGCCAGGAGAGCAATTAAGGAATTAGCCCTCATTTGGCGAGATAAATTAGGACACAGGTCAGAGCTGGAGGTTCAGCAAAGTGGTTTTGTTCCCTCTGGGGCCCTGAGCCAGCCTTGAACTGGAGCAGCTCTTTCCCTCAGCAGGACAATTCGCAGAGGGTTTCAATCCACCTGATATTGTGTTATCAGCTCTGATAAAGTGCTGGATGTGAGCTCTGATTCCAGTGAGCATTCCCAGCTCCCATCAGGTCCCTTTGAAGTCAGCACTGGGCACTTGGGCTGGGCAAGCACAGCTGGAAGGAGTCCACAGCGACCCAAAGGTGCTGTGGGGGACGGGGCTTTACAAACCAGCACCAACCCGCTGACACTGACAGCAAAAGCTGGAGAAATGTGGATCTAAAGAGAAAAAAAACGTTGCTGTTTCCTCCCAAAAAGCAGCACAGAACCAGATTAACAGGATGATTTAAACTCCATTATCCATTCCTTTCAACTCCACATTGTCCATTCCTTTCAGCCACGCCGTATCCTCGTGGATTTAAGTGTTTCACCTGCGAAAAGGCCTCGGATAATTACGAGTGCAACCGCTGGGCTCCGGATGTTTACTGCCCCAGAGGTAACCGGCCCCATCCCAGGGCTCCATCCCAATGCCAGAAACGGAATATTCCCAGAAATGTGGAATATGGCATTCTGGGGTTAATCCTTTAAGCTCTTCTGTCTCCTTGCAGTGGTTGAGGTTGAGGATTTGGAGCTTTTTATTCCCTGTTTTCCCCTGGCTCAGCTGGGGATTCAATCAGGCTGCTGCTGCTTTTCCCACCCAAAATTCCCAGTTTTGGGT